GGGCTTCACCCCGAGCTCCATTTCCTCCTTGTCGTTAAGAAAAACTCTCTTCCTCGCCCCCCATCGCTTGCTTCCGCGTCGGCTTGTATTTATATAGTGCCTTGCGTGGCGGTGATAGTGTGCAGTATTCAGAGCGACAAACAATGGAGAAGATGGCTCTGTGAGGCTTGCTTTTTGGGGGTGGTGGAGGCACACCCCATGTACATACCCTGTGTGGCAGAGCGAGGAAAAAGGGTTTCGGCCCAGGATTATGGAGGGTGGGCAGTGGCCCCGCCCTCACAGTGACAGCCAATGGCGTGAGAGCGCCCTGTGACAACCCAGGAGAGCATGTGCGTGACACTCAGGCAGGCGGGAGGGCGGGAGGGTGGGCAGCCGGGTCCCTGCAGCACTGGTGCCTCTCCTCCCGTGTTTGACGTGATGGAGCGCCCCCTGGTGGCTTTGCCGGTCATTGCCACCCGCTCTAGTCCCTGGCTCATGCCTCCTTCAAAGGCGTTCCCATTACTCAGCACAAGTAAGACTGCCACCCCCAGCGTACAGTTCTAGTCAGGGGTGGGTGTGATCAGAGCCCTTCATCCTCACCTTCCTCATCCTCCTCGTCTCCTCTCTCTACCTCAGGTCGATGAAGAGGCAGCACTGGATCAGGCTGTCAAGTTCTGCCAGGTCCAGCTGGCCACGTCCGCGCAGAGACAGGTAAGCCCCACGTACCCGCGCCCCCCCCCACCCCACACTGGGGAGTCCAGCTCCTCTCCACATCCCCACCTGCTGGTCAGTCTGGGTTATGTCAGTACCATCTTTCTGTGGGCCGACAGGCTGAGGTGCTGATCGTGTTTATAAGCCTGGCCCTTTCTTGTGCCCCTTGCAACTCCACCCCCTTATGAGTGTGGGGGGGGGAGGGGCAGCATCTGCGGAAAGGGGCCAGGTGGGAGCCGGGAGGCCGATCGATGCTCCCCCCTGCCTGGATGGTAGCATGATATCATTGATGTGAGGCAGGTTTGCGAACAAGGAGGCCCCCAGAACAGGCTTGACGAGCTCACAGCCGGGCCATGCAGGTTTCGGGGCTGAGCTGTGGCTTATGGCCCCAGGCACCCCCCCCTGCTGGAGGCCTCGAGAGCCTGCAGTCACATTATTCACCAACAGACTCATTTTTCACCCCCACGCACATTCACAGGGTTGTGCTTTATCTTTTTTTTTTTTGGTGCATTTTTGTTCTTCATCCCTCGCTTCACATGCCTTTCTCCTCCCTCAACATTCCTGAGATGTTTCAGGCCTTTGGGCGGCCCTCACCCTCCTAACGAACCTGGTGAGTCGTGCTAAGGCCGGAGGTCAGAGGTCAGGTGGCAGAAGCCCCTCTCTCGGGCTTCTCTGTGGTTTTAACAAGCCCCTCTGGTTCCTCAGCTGTGGGTGTCTCACATTTGCTGACACCTCACTCTCTCTCTCTCACACTCACTCCGTCTTTCTTTCCCACGGCCCCCCCACCACCACCACCACACGTTTGCCGCCTGACGTCTACTCCGTACACCGCTGGCTGTTTCCAAGGCAGCGACTGTCCCACACTGAGGGCATCAGCGTGCCCGACTGTGTAATGTGGGCTGTTGGTGGGCGCCAGGATGAGACAGGAAGCCCACAGCAGCTTTGTTTTGTAACGCCATGGCAACGAGGAGCATCTGCAGGCGCAGACACCTCAATGGATGGAGGTGTGGCTGGTGATCAGGCGTCTCCTCGCCTCAGTGAGTTACAACAAAAATGTTGAGGAAAGCAAACAAACTAGAGAGGGGTGGCAGAAATATCACTGCTGCCTGTATCATAAAGCCTCGCGGGGGAATTAGAGCGAGCGCGTGTGTGAGCCTGACACAGGGAGCCCCTGAAGCAATCGAGGGAGCAGTGCAGAGCTGCGTTGACTGAGGCTCCGGGGCCTGGGTGATCCCGGACGGCGGGAGGCTTCTCACGGGGTCGGAATAACCCCGGATGGTGTAAGGAAGTCCCCGCACGGGGCTTTTCGGGTGCAGGGACTTTTTCCGCGGTGCAGGTGTGGTACGCCACGCCGTCCTGTTCTCTAACACGCTCCACACTTCCTCTGAGGCACATTTGCAGTCGTCTGTCTTTGCTGCCGTTGCTGCACTCCCAAGCCCCCCCCCC